ATATTTTTTTTTTTTTTTTTTTTTTATTTTTTTTTTGTTATTGTCCCTGGAACATGAATCCAGGACTCATGATGTTGAAAACAACTCACAAACCCACTAATTAAACATCAATTGAAACCAACTGAATTGGATACTATATATATATAGACTACTTGATATTTTTTTTTTGTTATTGTCCCTGGAACATGAATCCAGGACTCATGATGTTGAAAACAACTCACAAACCCACTAATTAAACATCAATTGAAACCAACTGAATTGGATACTATATATATATAGACTACTTGAATCCCCACATTTTTTTTTTCTGTGTTAATTTTCTAAAGACACTCTTGGAGAAATAAACTACACTAAAAAGGAACCATGGCAAAATGCGTCCCCCTTGTCATAAAAGTGCTATTAACATGAACTTTAAATTAGAGTCTGATCATAAGATCACAAAACTGCTAGCTGACTAGCCATGCCATAATAGCATGAAAAAAGTGCACTCAATCAAACATGTAAAATTAGTAGTTTTATGGGAGCAAAGGCGTGATCAGAAGGATTATACATAAGACACCAAAACGGAAATAAGAAACTGATCCTAGTATATATGCATTTTTATATAATGTTAGGTGTGTAATTTGAAGAAATGATTTAAAGATTTCTTTACCATACATTACTTCTTGTTCAAAAAAAAAAAAAAAAAAAACTCTAAATAAAATAAGGTTTACTTTGGGTCTAGATTAGCCCGACCACCTTCATTTGTCATTTTTGTTAATTTATAGCCAACTCATTAGACTGAGACGTCTTCTGTGCATGAATATTGTGGTTAATATTTATAATAATTCACAGTACTTGAGCAAAAAATGAAATAAAATTATTATAATCACAATCAGCCTCCGCAATTACATTAATTTAATTAGCCAGGAGCTTAAATAGCAAGTGCTGTACAATAATACACTCCTTACACTATCAATTAAAATCAGAATATAAGTAAAAACATTTTGATATAGCTAGCTTGATAAAATCATATTGTAATGGTATATATATGTGGATGTATAAATTAGTATTAATTAGTTGAAACTATTGATAATGGTTTTAAGCAAGCAATTCATGGAGCATTATCATCATTGATCGAGCCCATCATATTTGCACTTTCACTTGTACTTTCAGCAATAATTAATTATTTAAAAAGTCCTGGCTAAATAGTACTAAAGATTGGCATATCAAGGGGAGAAAACATAAAAACCGAGGTATACACCCAGGTATTAAAATATATTAAAAAAAAAAAAAAAAGAACACCCAGATGGTTAAAACACTTAGAGGATGTTCGGTTGTAAGATTCAAATCATGATTTAAATCATGGTTCATAGTTTGTTATAATATTTTCTCTCATAAAAAATACACGTAAATTGAAAATGATTCTAATCACATGATTCTAATCCATGAATCAAACGTCTCCTTAAAATATTAAAGGACATTTTTTTTCCCCCATACTTTTCATTTTTTATTTGTTTTCTCTTGGTTAAAACTATTAATTTCCTTTATAAGCATTATGATTATTTTAGTAGGAAAGATGAGCTGGGAGAGCATATTGATATGAGGAGGACTTTGGTCGAGCAAGATCCCATTTTCAAAACCCAAATCATTGAAGAATAAAACAAGAAAATGACAAAACAAAAAAGACTTCTTTTTTGAGACCCTTTACTGTGCTAGGGAACACAAAGCTCATCGGAAACATGAACAAACAGAAAGACAATGTAGCTCCATATGAGAACCCCCCCCCTACAAATACATTATTTTAAAGCTATGAATTTGGCATATCTGGACAGGGCCAAGTGTGTATCATGTACGTAGTAGAATCACTCATCAAATTATACTCAGACACGCCCATTTGTTTTTATGCTATATTAATGTTATAATATTGGTCACCATCAATCGTATATTTAACCTTTTCTGGAAAATCTTTTTACTAGGTTTTTTTTTTTTTTTTTTTTTTGTGAGAAACCAGAAAACTATATATAGAGCGCTAGATCATAATATTATTGAGGCTAAAACAAGGATGATTATTTACTATTGAAGTTAATTATTGAGAGTCATTACTAATGTACCCCTGTGGGTTTTGTCAAAACTTTTACTTTTTCTTTAATTATCTCCCCAATATTATATCACTTCAGCAAAGTTAACCATAAAAAAAAGGTAATTAAGGTCTATAGCTGTTCTTCCATTCATGTTGCCTTGTATATATGTACATACAAAATGATAAACAAACACACAAACACTTACTTATTAGTTAATATTGACCCTTATTTTCATGGTCGATCGGACAATGAAATATTTTTAATATCATCTTCGAGAAAATAATTATAACCAGTACTACTACTCCTTGTAAGTCAATATCCGAGAACCTTGCTAGTCAATTGAAATATTTATATGAGTGAATTTGCATAATTGAGCTCACACTTCTTAATTATGAGCACCCTCAAATTCTCCTAATAAACCAACATATACATACATAGAAATATATATATATATATATATATATATGGTTTTTCATTTTTCTTGACGGTGAAGTCAGCGAAATGCACCTTTATTTTTTTGGGGGGTTCCTTGTCACTAATAACAAATTCTTGTTTGATCAATTATATGGTCCTCTTTTGTAAATTTACAAAGGACAACCATGTTAGGGGTGACAATGACGGCTAGTAGTACACTGTCATGACATTTTTGTAATTAAGCAAAAGATATTATGATAATGAAAATAAGAGGAAGATGCAGTGCAAAGATAGAAAATTTGGGTATTAGGCAGGCCGGCGGATAAGATAATCTGGTGAAATGGAAATGTGTTGTATATTTTATTAGCTGAACCATGCAAAATTGTCAGAAATTTCAACTCTCTTTATAACATAGAATAGTTTATTATGTGAAAATGAAATGAAATTAAATATTGGAAGATAATTGTAAAACGAAAATCATGAAAGAACTTTTAGCCATGCCTGTTAGAAATTAATCAATGAATCAATCATATCAAAGTAATTGTAGAAAGCTGGGAAGGGTCTACCACCCATGATGTAAATATGCATATAAAACACACACTCTATCTCTCTCTCTCTCTCTCTCTCTCTCTCTCTCTCTCTCTCTCTCTCTCTCTCTCTCTCTCTCTCTCTCTACAAAATTACAAATGATAGTCTCTTTTTGTTTACATTATATTATTTCTTTTTTTTTTCTTTTTTTTTCGTTGCTTATTTTATAAGGGAAAAAGGTAGGAGAGCAAGGGATGATTAAAACAAAAGGTTTAGCAGAAAAATAAACTTTGTTAAAAGCATATTTATACCATAAAGAAAGGAGAGATTTTTTTTTCCTTTTTATTTTTTTCCGGGGTTCAGAAAGACAATAGAGGAAAAGACAGAAAGTGCAACCTCAGAGTTTAGCCGTAGGGTTCCTTGCGTTTGTGGTTTTGTGGGTATTGTTTTTGGACTGGCTTTGAGGATTACAGAGGTATCTCTTTCTCATCCACATCTCTCTCTCTCTCTCTCTCTCTCTCTCTCTCTCTCTCTCTCTCTCTCTTATTATAGCTAGAGAGAGAGTTTTAAGACCTGGGTCTTTACTTTTTGTTCATATTTTTTGTGCGGCTATCGGATTTTCTTGGTATTATCAAGCATGGTTGTTGTTGATTAACCATGAAGGAGAAACGTGACTAGCTGGAGGATCTGGTTCTTTCTGCTCCTCTCTCTCTCTCTCTCTCTCTCTCTCTCTCTCTCTCTCTCTCTTTTCTTTTGAGCTTTCAAAAAATGAAAAATTGTCTCTTGGGCTGAAGCCAAACCAAGCAGAAACTATCAAAGGTGTGTGTGTATAGTGAGATCAGATTATGGGTTAACTTCATATATATGATACAAAGGCTCACGCCAACAATATACTACTAACACTACTACTCTTGAGACAAGCAAAATTTTGCCTCTTTTTGGTTCTTTTCTCTTGCTTGTTTTTACTTTGTTTTACATCTTTTTTATCCCTTTTTTTTTTTTTTTTTCATTTTTGTCTCTAATTAGATCCTAACACCCCTTCTCATTCAGGAAAAACTAAGATCTATTACATGCCCAAATGATGCAACTTTAGGGAGTAGTACTACTACAACATCAAGAAATTGCATGTTCTTACAAAAAATAAATAAAAAAAAGATGATGCTATTCCAACACCAACAACCACCACAAGCAGATGAAAACATGTCTAATTTGACCTCAGCATCCGGTGAAGCAAGCGTTTCTTCCGGCAACAAAAACGAAATCGGCAACAACAACAACAACTATCCTCAACAATATTTTTCCCCAGTACAAGCTCAAACTCAACAGCCGCCCAAAAAGAAGAGAAATCTCCCAGGAAACCCAGGTAATAAATATATTACATAAATATTTCTCCTTTTTTTTTTGTTTACTGTAATTGACTGTTTTGGTTTGATATGATCAGACCCAGATGCAGAAGTAATTGCCTTGTCCCCCAAGTCTCTCTTGGCCACAAACAGATTCATTTGCGAGATCTGCAATAAGGGGTTTCAGAGAGACCAGAATCTGCAGCTCCACAGAAGAGGGCACAATCTGCCATGGAAGCTGAAGCAAAGAGCAAGCAAAGAGGTGAAGAAGAAGGTTTATGTTTGCCCGGAAGCGAGCTGCGTCCACCATGACCCGGCGAGGGCGCTCGGGGACTTGACCGGAGTCAAGAAGCATTTTTGCAGAAAACATGGAGAAAAGAAGTGGAAATGCGACAAGTGCTCAAAGCGTTACGCTGTTCAATCCGATTGGAAAGCTCATTCCAAGACCTGTGGCACTAGGGAGTACAGATGTGACTGTGGAACCCTTTTCTCAAGGTAACGATTTTTTTTTTTTTTTTTGTTTATTTATTAATATTTTTAGACAAGAACAAATTGAAGAACCCTGTTTAGAAAAATAATAATTATAATTATAATTCCAGTTACCCTTTTTGGTTGAATTGGGTTGGTTTGATTTTTAGATAACATATTTACATTTTGAAGACTTCAGTAATCAGTACTCTTGTCCTACTTTATTATACCCTAGAGAGAGAAAAATGCTAAGTATATATGGAAATAATTTCACTGCATAACCTCATATTTAATTAACATGGAATTATATAGTTTATGTCTGTCCTTGGCCTTGACTAAATCTCTGGAGAAAGAGAGGAGAAAGAACAGATTGCAGCAGAAAGAGAGAAGAAGCAAAAGGGACAGAGAAATAGAGTCTAACACTATACCATACTATATCATAGCTCAGCACACTTGTGACATTTTGCTTTTTGTATTACATATATATATATATATATGTTATATAATATATTTTGTTTTGTAACTACAGGAGGGACAGTTTCATAACCCACAGAGCCTTCTGCGACGCTTTGGCAGAGGAGAGCGTAAGAGCCATGACAACAAATAACCCAGCTGGCCCAGTAGTACTACTCAATAATCCCAACTCTTCTTCCTCAACATTATCTCATCATCACATGATTAATCTCCAACAAACCCAATTAGACAACCTCAATGCCTTCTCACTCAAAAAACAGCACCAAGACTTTTCCTCCTCCACCGCCGCCGTAACCGCGACCACCTTGCCGCCGTGGCTGGGCCCAGCCCAGATAGACCTCTCCTCCTCATCACCATCAATCTTTTCCAACACAAGGAGTGCTATTACTACAACGCTCGATCATCATCATGAAGATTTCACAATATCAAACCCTAACCCTAGCCCGCTGGGCCCGGCCGCAAATCTCCCGGCTACGACATTCCAGACCTTGCAGTCTCCGCCGCCGCCGCCGTCGGCTCACATGTCGGCCACGGCGCTGCTGCAGAAGGCAGCCCAAATGGGCGCCACAATGAGCGGCAGCAAGGCCACCGTCGCGTGTAGGCCCCACCAAGCTCACGTGTCGTCTCCTTCTTCTGCAGCTGTCACCACTAACAGTAGTACTACTGCAACTGGCCTGAACTTGTCCTCATCACGTGATCATCATCAGCATTATCAGAAGGATCAGACGGTCACCCATGCCCTGGCTCCAAACTCGTTTCTTCAGGACATGATGATGAGCTCTTTGCCATCTGTAAATGGTGGTAATACTACTGGTCGTGGAGATAATGGTGGTAGTGGTGAGGGTTTGACAAGAGATTTCTTAGGGCTAAGAGCATTTTCTCACAGTGATATTCTCAGTATAGCTGGTCTTGGAAACGGTATCAATATTTCTCGTGATCATCAAAGTAATCAGCCCCAGAAACCTTGGTAAGATTATTTATCAAGTTTAAAGTTCCTAAGTTCCTATATGTGCAGGGAAGGAACCGGCTCTTTTTTACTTTGGTTTTTACTTTTCGTAACGAATATATAATTTTAACTCTATTTATAATTTTTTTGTTTTGATCTTGCATTGGTTTCCAATCTTCCCGAAGGGAAGGAGTCAAGACCTCTAAAATTTCTCATATTCCAATGCCTTCTGTAGTTACCAGTTACTTTTTTTTTAAATATATATTAGCTTTTGCTTAAACTTGTAATTTTGAAAAACAAAAAATGGTAGTATTATTTATTTTTTTTCTTTTCTTTAAGCACAGAATATTATTAGTATGTTGTCCTTAATTAAGGGGTATATGCTGTTAATTGAAGCTTCTTTTTTTCTCCTTTTTTTTTTTTTTTGGTTGAAGGTAAAATCAATTGAAGCTTATTTTAAGGTTGAAACAACAGAAGAAATTAACATCATATCTTATGAAATATATGCACTATCACACTTAAATTTCTTTTTGTGTTTGAAATTAGAAAATTTGAGCCTTGTTGTTCGTTTGCAGTTAAATTTGCCGCAGTTTCTATAATTAGCTTTCTGCTAGTTTCATTGGTATTACTATTTTCGTTGATGTCATTTACTTATCTGTCCTTATATTTGTAATTATTGTTTTATTGTAAAAAAAAAAAAAAAAAATTGTTTCTTTTTTTTTCTGATTAATTAAAAAGGTAGTTGAATAATAGACTAATATCATTCAGGAAAAAAAAAGAACAAGAATAGGATAAAAAATATTAATCATATCCAGAAGAAAATGATTATACATAAATCAAATGTAACACTTGATATGGTATTCACAACGTATGTGATGTGGAAGTTCTTGTAGATATAAGCATAAACATGGAAATTGATGTCCCATGCATGTAAAAGCAAGGATTCATACATTTTACCTCTGAAATAACAACGTGAGATATATCATAATTTGACTCTACTTCCAAAACACGATGTATCACAACTCTTGTCACTATAGAAGTCACAAGCCCTCCAAAGGAAAAAAGGTGTAGCAAATTTGAATTGACCGTAACTTTCCCCCCCCTCCTTTTTCTGAAGAAAACTGTAAATTACCTTATACGGTTGACTTCACCACGCCCTTTAATCCCTTATATAAAGTTGGATTTTCCCTTCACAGATGAAAGAAAAACTCCCACTTATTCATAATCACCGTGATCCAATAGGTTGTCACTTTGAAAGATCGGAAAGTAGCAAATACATATATATATATATATTTACATAATTTAAAAACAAAGCCCCATCTCTCTCTCTCTCTCTCTCTGTGGAAAATGTTTAAAGTAATATCATTAAATAAGAATCTCTGAATATGCGAATATACATAAACATGTTAGTATGAAGTAGAAGGATATACGTACGGGTGATATTTGATATACAAAAGCGCATTGGATTCTCTAATAGTAAGATTCGTGAAATGGTAAAGAGGATGAGCAAGTTTTCTAGTTTTAGATATTGGTGTTTATTTGCAAAATAATAAAGAGATGCCCTTTGACGACTAATATGGGCGCAAGTGGGGATTCAATCCCGAGGAAGGATCGTTTTTGCTCACTGGATCACCAACTATATATATTATAAGCAGCTTTAGCTAGTCTAATTTCCTCCTTCTTTTTTTTTTTCAATTATTTGTTTTTTAATCTTTCATACAGTATTTTCATAAGACTACATGGTGGGGTTTTCTTGATCTAAGTACTAGTGGGAAAGAAAATATTTGTGAAATCGATGGGGACGAGCTGTCCAAATTAGTATGTCCTTCCTTGATTCTATAACTTATTAGTTAAGAGAGATTCTAACTTCACTATTTTTATCACTTTTTTTTTTTTATCATTTTTCACATTCATCATTTAACGCATAAACGCCACTAAGATGATATATTATTTTTGAAATAGAAAATGAGATAGTAAAGTCTGCATGTTAAATAATAATAACAGAGTAACAAAAAGAGTGACAGAAAAGTACGCTAGCATTTTTCTTGTAGTTAAATATTTAATAAGTGAAACACAAACAATACATATTCTCACTACTTGTGATCAAAGAGGTTTAATGGAGCTAATTTCAACTATTTGAGAAAATGCTTTTAACGGATGGTTCTTCAAACTAATTTTAGAAAAAAAAAAAAAAAGGAAATTAGGATACTTGCCAAGAGAATTGCCGTTACTAAACTCCTTCTTAGAGTGCGTGTTTTGATTTCTGTATGTGAGAGATAGTTCTTATATATAATGTACATGCATGCATTTGAGCAATAATCATATGATCATCATGAGTAGAATCAAATATATACTACTGTATGATTAGCCTATCATACAAATACAAAAAGTTGTTCAGATCAGGAGAAGAACTTTACATACGAAATTATTAATATAGTCGTAAGAGAGATAAATAGATGCTTAATATATATCCACAAGATTCCCAAGGTTAGGTCGATGTCGATATTAATATACAAATGTCTTTAGCTAATAATTTTACTTTGAAAGTGGTCTTGGCACCTGTCCATTCATTGGTTTCAGAAAGTAATTATAAACAAATTAATTACATTTTTATAATAACATGAGATTCCTCTGAATTCCCACTTCGCATCACATATATATTATTTCTTGGAGAGAGAGAGGAGAGAGAGCTTTATATATATATAATACATAATATATATATATATAAATCATGACACACCTGCGAATATGCTCATTTTCTAATAGCTTGGCAATTAGCGTGAGAGACATGGGAGAGTATGTTTGTCATTTCATGACTTAAAAAAAAAAAAAAAAATCCTCCCCTACTTTTCTTTTTGCAGATCAGTTTATCAGTAATGTAGGGTTGCTTCCCATCCTTCTCATTTTTAAACCGGAATTTTTATGTAGGATATTCTCATTATGGTTCGTGTTTTTAAACACTGATCTGATAAAAATCGCATAAAAAACATATAAAATTGATCAAACTTAATAAACTGACAAAACCATATACAAATCTAGGTTAGATTTAAAACGTAACAATATTATTGATGGAGTATTTTTTTCAAAACCTATACAAGTAAAAGTATTCTTTAAACCCCCCCTCTCTTTTTATACATACATACATGTATATATATGTATGTATATGTATATATATATGTATGTATGAAAGTTTACAGAGACAAGAACAAAAAGAGGAGAATTAGGAGAGAGGTGGGCAAGAGAGAGCTAGCACAGTTCCCCAAGCTCATCTAATCTAAAGTAGATGCCTAAGATCCCAAATTTATGCTTTGCTGATTACTTTTGTGGTCTGTTGGATTTAGCTAGATCCACAAAAGGGAAAAGGAAAACAAAAGAAAAAAAAAAAATAATAAATAATATATATATATATATAATGGTGGAATCCCCTAAAAGCCGAAGAACAAAGCTGAAGTGTGCCCAGAATGAAAGGAATATGATGAAACGAATTATGGGTTTTGTTTGTTGTATGCGTATTTTGATGCTGTTTTGGGTTTTGGCATGGCTAAAACCACCAGTTGACTTGTCATTGTAAAGATCATGTTGTGTTAATAATGTCACCTTTTATCTTTGACTTGTATGTGTGTGTATATATATATATATCATTCACGGCTATATATAGCTCTAGCTTCTAGCTCTATGTCTCTAATACTCTTTTTGTTTTTTTTTTGCTTTCGAAAAAATAAAAAGCTAATTTTTCTTCTTTCTTTCTTGCTTTTCTCTCAAACACACACGTACATGTGGCCCCTTTGTGATGATAGCCTACATGTTCTTTTTAGGTCCCTAATAGTGAATAGTGAGCCATCAAAAGATAAAGCTGTTTCTCGTGAAAATTTCATTTTCTTTAGTGTTGTACAATTGGGATTGGTGCGACTTGTGATTTGTGAGTTGTCTTTGACAATGGCTTGCCTTTTTTTTTTTTCCTTTCTGACAATAATTATAGGGATTATACGTTTTAGGGAGTCAAGGTTACCTATTTTGAGGAAATTAACGTTACTTGGTGATCCTCTCATCTTGCCGGTAAGAAAGCTATATCCTAAAGTAACAATAATGCTAATGACTTTACCAAATTTTCTTTTAAAAAGCTAATGAAAATCATATAGTCCTGAAAATTTTCGCAATATTACAATGTCAATCAATAATGGAGCATTTTCTTTTAAAAAGCTAATGAAAATCATATAGTCCTGAAAATTTTCGCAATTTTACAATGTCAATCAATAATGGAGCCTTCCGTTCACTTTGTTGATTCGAGTTTGTAATTCGAGTTGAGATGTAATTTTGTGTGAGAGCTTTTTACTGTAGTAAAAAAGTTAGATGTGACTGTTTCTGAGAACTTTTTACTGTAATAAAATTTGAATTCTAAACTCGAATCGGCAAAATGAACGGGGCCTAAATGCCTGAATTAAAAAAACAACCGATTAATCTGTTTGTGAGTATTCAAAGAACAAATATATCATTTTTAACTTCTTAGTTGAAATGTGAAAATGGAACAAAAAAAAAAAAAAAGTGTAAGCCTTCTTGCTTTTCGATTCAATGTACCATTCTATCATGAACATTGCTTTTCTCAGACAACTCGTGTGCATGCCAGCTTTATGTACTGTCCATTATTCTTTGTTTTGTCTTCATTTTTTGTTTCTTCTCCAAATAATGTAAATTCCCCCAAACAACTAAAATCAGAATTATTTGCTCCAGTAAACCAGCAAATTCTTTGCTCAAAAAAAGTTGCAAAAAGAAAAAAAAAAAAACTTTAAGGCGACACTTTTTTTTTTTTGGCCGTGTTTTCTCCGAAATCAATCTAATACGACAAATCATATATGATCATTTGCATGTGGTATACGGAGTCAACACCAAATTACTTTATACATTCCATGCCTGGATAGTGGATGTAAATGATGCACACAAAAAAAACTGCAAGCGACAAGTAAGAACGACAACAAAAGTTAAAGAGATAGAATAGTGATAAAAAAATTAACGACAAAAACAAAAAGGAAGGCCACATAGCAGAAGACAAATGTATTTAGGAACGACAGAAATAAAAAGAACGAAAATAAAATGTCAAACGCCTTCAAAAAACGATATACAGTGGTCAAATGACACTAAATGTAAAAACGACATTAAAATTTGAAACGACAAAAAATGTCAAGCGACATTGAAATTTAAAACAGCAATAAACTTCAATAGACGTCAAAAGTAAATTCAAAACGACATAGGCGTCAAACAACATCAAAATTAACAACCACGTTCAACGTGAAAACAACAATAAAACGACAAAGACATCAAATTTTAAAATGACAATAGACTTCAAAAGGAAAAAAAAAAGAAAAAAAAAAAAGAAAAGAAAACAACAGACCACACCAAACATGAGAACGACAAGAAAAGGTCAAACGGCGTCAAAATGAAAATTCAACTGAGATGTCAAACTATATCCAAAAGTGAAACTAAACACGAGAACAAAGTTGAGAAAGAATAGGAAACGGTGGGAAAATTAAAGCGAGAGAAAGAAATGGCAATAGGAATTCCAACGAATAAACAAGGAGGATGAAAAATTAAAACAAGAAAACTATGAATGGACAATATAGTTATAAAACAATAACAAAACTAACGACAACAACAAAAGGAAAAACGAGAAAGCAACAAGAAATTATACAAAGCCATCGTTTTGTTTATATGTTTTATTGCATTTGATTTTCTATGCATTGTCGCATTTTGTCATTTAAATTATTCTACCGGCAACTGGAAAGGACAAACAATGATTCCAAACCTTTGACTGCAAGCATGGAAAAATGAATGAACATCGGCAAAAATATGGGAAAAATGGCAACAACAAAAAAAACAAAACAAAAACAAAAACAAAAACAAAAAGAGCGTACCTCGCAAACGATAGTAAAAATATTAAACGACATTGAGAGTGAAAACAACATGGAACGAAAAACGAGTGGTCAAATGACACTAAATGTAAAAACGACATTAAAATTTGAAACGACAAAAAATGTCAAGCGACATTGAAATTTAAAACAGCAATAAACTTCAATAGACGTCAAAAGTAAATTCAAAACGACATAGGCGTCAAACAACATCAAAATTAACAACCACGTTCAACGTGAAAACAACAATAAAACGACAAAGACATCAAATTTTAAAATGACAATAGACTTCAAAAGGAAAAAAAAAAAAAAAAAAAAAAAGAAAAGAAAACAACAGACCACACCAAACATGAGAACGACAAGAAAAGGTCAAACGGCGTCAAAATGAAAATTCAACTGAGATGTCAAACTATATCCAAAAGTGAAACTAAACACGAGAACAAAGTTGAGAAAGAATAGGAAACGGTGGGAAAATTAAAGCGAGAGAAAGAAATGGCAATAGGAATTCCAACGAATAAACAAGGAGGATGAAAAATTAAAACAAGAAAACTATGAATGGACAATATAGTTATAAAACAATAACAAAACTAACGACAACAACAAAAGGAAAAACGAGAAAGCAACAAGAAATTATACAAAGCCATCGTTTTGTTTATATGTTTTATTACATTTGATTTTCTATGCATTGTCGCATTTTGTCATTTAAATTATTCTACCGGCAACTGGAAAGGACAAACAATGATTCCAAACCTTTGACTGCAAGCATGGAAAAATGAATGAACATCGGCAAAAATATGGGAAAAATGGCAACAACAAAAAAAAAAAAAAAAAAAAAAACAAAAAAACAAAAACAAAAAGAGCGTACCTCGCAAACGATAGTAAAAATATTAAACGACGTTGAGAGTGAAAACAACATGGAACGAAAAACGACAAAAGAAACAACAATGAAACTGAAAAACAACGTTAGAAGTGAAAATGACGGTACAATAAAAAGTGGCGATAAGAATTGAGACTACAAATTCGGAAAAAAAAAAAAGAAAAGGAAATGAAACAGAACAATCGAAAGCGAAAACAAAATGGAGAACGCCAAAAAGTATATAAACGACAACAATAACGGAAAACGACAGTGAACGTGACAAAAAGGCAAACAACGACAAATTGAAAACGTTAATGTACAAAACGACCCATATGCACGAAGAAACGACAATATAAAAGGAAATAATTTGAAAACGACATATAGCAGGATAGACGCCAGTAAAAGTAAAAGGGCAATACAGTATAGAGACAACAATAGAAGAAAAAACGACAATGAAATTGTACGACAAAAATCTTTGGTTTATGCATATTTTATTGGTTTAAACTATTTTCTTCCTTTCAGAAGGGGCATTTTTGGCACTTTAAAAAAAATTCAATGGGCAAAAAGATGTTCTCATAGTTAACTTTGCTTAAAGAGTGTTACTGTAATATTGATAAAGTTAGGGTTATCGGTGCAATTTTCCAAATGCTAAAGTGGAAAACCACAGTAAGAAAGACAACAGAACAACTAAAATATAACCAGTATCGCAAACAAAATAGAAAACACAACGGATCCTAAAACGACAATATAATTCCCAACGGCAACAAATGAGAAACGATAAGAAAATAAAAACGACAACAATCCTCAAACGACGGACAAAGATTGATGAAAAAAAATAAATAAATCGACGACGTCAAAGATGATTGCACTATGAGAAAGAAAACAAAAGTTTAATAAAACGACAACAGAAAATGGTAGATCATTTCAATACGAGAATACCAGAAGCAACAATGTTCTGAAACGACAATCTTAGCTAAAACAACAACAGCGTAGACGTGACTGAAAAACGACAATTAGACTAGAAAAAGAAAACTATTATATTATCAGATAACAATAAAGTAACAACAAAATGAGAAATAACAATACTAAGACAGAGAAAAGAGTAGCACAATAAAACATCATTCAAAGCAGTTTTCAGCCGTGGAAGATCAAATAATGAAATAAACAGAAAAGAAACGACAATATAAAAGGAAATAATTTGAAAACGACATATAGCAGGAAAGACGCCAGTAAAAGTAAAAGGGCAATACAGTATAGAGACAACAATAGAAGAAAAAACGACAATGAAATTGTACGACAAAAATCCATTAAATCACGCAAAAACTAAATGACAACTAAATGTGAAACGTCATCTTGAAAGAGACGACCAAAGTTAAAAAGCTAAGGAACGATACCCTTCATCTCAATATTACAGTAACATTCAATGAAAAGTTTCTAAAAATACTCAAAATACCTTTAAAATATTATAAAACAGTTTCGGCCAACTAAAATAAGTGATTTTGCCTCTCATACATTGTATAACCGACAAATTGCTAGAAGAAAATTTGGTTTTTAGAAAATTGAAAAAAAAAGTTGCAGACAAAAGACATGAAAATAATTGAACGACATGATACAGTAAATGAAACGAAAACAAAGTATTTGACAAAAATTATAGGCCGTGTTTGGAATTGATCCCGTTTTTATTTTTCATATTTTTTGAAAAAGAAAAAAACGAAAATGTTTCTAAAATGACGTTTGGCGTAATAAAGATAAAAAACAGAAATGAAAACGATTTTTTGGTCTAGTGTAAAATGAGAGAGAAATGAAAAATGACTTTTAGTCATTTTTCATTTTTTATTTTTGTTTTCTCCTCTCTCGAGCAGAGAGAAAGAGAGAGAGATATTAATGAGTTTTTTAATATTAAAAATAATCTCTTGATAAAATTATTAAACGCATTTTCAAAAATGATTTCGGTCTAAGATTGAAAACGTTTTTATTTTTATTTTCATACAAAAAATAAAATCATTTTAGAACGAGTTCCAAACGCACCTACATTTTCCAAAAGAACACATTGGCTCTATAACGTTTCAGGATAAAATCTTTTGTTTATGCATATTTTATTGGTTTAAACTATTTTCTTCATTTCAGAAGGGGCATTTTTGGCACTTCAAAAAAAATTCAATGGGCAAAAAGATGTTCTCATAGTTAACTTTGCTTAAAGAGTGTTACTGTAATATTGATAAAGTTAGGGTTATCGGTGCAATTTTTCCAAATGCTAAAGTGGAAAACCACAGTAAGAAAGACAACAGAACAACAAAAATATAACCAGTATCGCAAACAAATTAGAAAACACAGCGGATCCTAAAACGACTATATAATTCCCAACGGCAACAAAATGAGAAACAATAAGAAAATAAAAACGACAACAATCCTCAAACGACGGACAAAGATTGATTAAAAAAATAAATAAATCGACGACGTCAAAGATGATTGCACTATGAGAAAGAAAACAAAAGTTTAATAAAACGACAACAGAAAATGGTAGATCATTTCAATACGAGAATACCAGAAGCAACAATGTTCTGAAACGACAATCTTAGCTAAAACAACAACAGCGTAGACGTGACTGAAAAACGACAATTAGACTAGAAAAAGAAAACTATTATATTATCAGATAACAATAAAGTAACAACAAAATGAGAAATAACAATACTAAGACAGAGAAAAGAGTAGCACAATAAAACATCATTCAAAGCAGTTTTCAGCCGTGGAAGATCAAATAATAAAATAAACAGAAAAAAAGGGAAAAAAACAAACAATTAAAGAAAGAAGCAAGTTATCATTGCTTGAAGAAAGAAATGGCTGGTAAGGTCAAGCTGATACTGACAGGTGTTCCCAATTCCTAAATGCATATGGAATGAGAAATAGTTGAAAGAAGAAGCATAACTTGGACTGGGTTTGGAGCTCCAAATCCAAATGGTCGGCAAAGCAATGGCCAGGAAGCGAACCACTCGAGCCAGAGCCACTTTCTTGTTCATTGTCTTCGTCTCTCTTGTGGCCTTCGGCATCTTTGTCCCTGTTTTTGCTCTTTTCCCTCCTCTTTCTTCCCATCACCATCACCATTCTAGCCCCAAAACTGTAAGTCCTTTTCAATCTTATTTCCAGAGTTCAAATTTTAACTTAAGTGAGTTTCTGATCTTTGATTTCTGTATCACTTTGATTGTGACATCGACATTCTTTTTTTTTTTTTTTTTTTTTCCCCCTTTGAGCCTGTTTGGTAAATGTATTTAAACTCATGATTCTGCTAAAGCCTTTTTCTCTCATGGAGACTCGTAAAGTTCCCACTAATGAATCAGAATCACTGACTTGAACGTACGTGTGAACCAAACAAACCCTTTCAGTTTCTGGGTCAAACAATTGTCTGATTTTTGTGTGTTGTGTTATCCTTTGTCTTAATACTGAAAGTAGAGGTTGATTTGAAGTTCAACTTTGATGTTCTGCAATTTGATTATTGAGTTGTATCCAAGCTAATATTAAATGCACTCAATTTTAGTCAATCTTTTTTATTTTGATTCTTTAAGAATGCTGATGACTTTAAGATTTTCATTTTTTAAATTTTTATCAGGTTGTTGGTAGAAAATTTGAAATTGCCGATGACAAGTTTTGGAAAGATGGTCAGGCATTCCAGATCATTGGTGGTGACCTGCATTATTTTAGAGTTGTCCCTGAGGTATTACTCTTTCTCTAATTGATATCTGTTAAAAGTTAGACTGTAGACGTCCTAATTCCTTACTACCGAGAGCAATCAAATCGCTGAAGAAATATAAACTAACAACGACACACACGGAGTTTATAGTGGGCCGCCTTCGTATTGAGAGCTCTGTCTGCTTTTAGCTGCTGCAGTAACTCTTTATGATAAAAAGCAGATTACAAAGAGAGACTATAAAGAAAACTAGGCAATCAAATTGTGTGTGAAAATCCTAGAGTACAGAACTTCGGTTGCGCGTTATCTCTGTGTTAGGGTAATAATTAGGCTCCATATGCTCAACAATATCTTTCTAAATGTCGTTGAGTCAGTTTTTCACATATTATTAGTCCATGCCTTTGTTATGCCTTTCATAAATGATGAAAAATTGTCTCCAAAATAATTGGATGAACAAGTATAGCATTAGTTCTCGCCTCATAGAAAACTGACTTGATGTAAAAACGAGTTTATTTCTTTCTATATTGCAGTATTGGGAAGATAGGCTGTTGAGAGCAAAGGCGCTGGGGCTAAATACTATTCAAACTTATGTTCCTTGGAATCTACATGAACCAATAGCCGGCACTTTCAACTTTGATGGTATTGCAGATTTAGTAACATTTCTTAAATTCTGCCAGAAAAATGGCTTCCTCGTTATGCTTCGACCTGGACCGTATATATGTGGAGGTTAGGACTATCAGATTTATGACCTCATTTGCTAGTATGCATCAGATATTAGAGGATACTTTCTGTGTTGAAGTTGGATATGTGCTGTTATGTTTTTCATGAGGAGCATTGTCTTCTGATTGCTAATTAAATTCAGAAGTTTAAATATCATGCCTAAAATTGTTGTGTGTTTTTCTGCAGAGTGGGACTTAGGGGGCTTTCCTCCTTGGCTACTTGCCACAACGCCAACTCTCAAGCTAAGATCATCGGATACTTCTTACCTGCAACTGGTGTGTATTCTATGCTGGTCACTTTTTATGTCTAGGACTTTCTTGTGTTCATTTCAATGTTCAAGATGCTAATGCAGGTTATAATTTGAACCTTTTAAGGTTGAAAGGTGGTGGGGAACCCTACTTCCAAAGATATCTCCGCTTCTTTATGAGAATGGCGGTCCAATTATAATGGTTCAGGTAAGTGGATCTGCATCTTTTTACACGCGTTTTCTTCTGTGTACTTGATACATAAAGAAAGAAAAAACAGTGAGGAATTGTTACAAAGATTTTGAATTCAAGACTGGTAGATTAAACCAAAACTGGATTATGTTGACAGATTGAAAACGAATATGGTTCATATGGAAATGATAAGGTTTATCTTCATCACCTGGTCAGATTGGCAAAACTTCACCTTGGGGATGACGTAATCCTGTAAGAGAATTCAATGCTGAACCCATGCTTGTATACATACATGTTTTGGTATTCTGTGTAGTTATTATTCAAAAACTGGTTCACTCATGGTAGTTTGCCTTCTCCATGACCTTAACTTAGCGTCATTCTAATTGCACACTTGATCCAACAAACTTTTGGCATAATACTAAAATAGTTCTCTTTTTTTAAGATATACTACAGATGGAGGTACGAGGGAAACTCTTAAGAAAGGAACAATAACCGGAGATTCTGTATTTTCGGGTAAAGTTCAAGATTGACGCTCTATTTTTTCTACTTATTTTCATTCATTTTCTAGTTGGTCCTTCTGCGTGTTACCTTTCTTTAGTTATTAAGTTTCTGATAAGCCTCCAATACGTTTCACATATGCGAGGCGTGCCAAGCTTGTGTGTTAGGCTGCTGTGTTGGGCGTGACAGTGCTGATCAGCATTAGCTTGGTCATCTAGTATTTTACTTGCTGTACTACCTGAGGTCATGGGGGCCAAGGGTATAAGTGTCTTTTCCTTTTTATGCTCTGTGGTGTAATAAAAGAGGGGACTGAGTGGTGGTGTGATTAGGCGGTTATTCTGGGAGTGTGTGAGGTCTGGGGAGAGAAGCTGAACCTCTCGAATGTTCAGCACTACTGTATCGGTGCTCGAGAAAAACCAGTATCAATACGCTATCAAGTTTATTCAATTTTCTTCTCTTGTTCGTTTGTTTATCATTTTTCTGGGTTGCTCTTATCAGTTTCTAGTTCAAAATTTTCTTGTAAGGATAGCACAACCCTTCACATCCAGAATAAGTGAAGTTGCTCTTTCTTGTATCCACTATTTCTCAAGTCTTCACTGTTCCATTTAGAATGCTTGATGAGAGTAAATGTTGAAACATAGTTGCCAACAATTGAACCAGAAGGCCTCATGACAACAGCATACTCCTAATAATCAGGCCTTCATTTTTCTCCAATTTACACTGCTTTTGGAGAAAACCAGAATCTTGTATTTCTGCTTTATAAGTTTTATTGTCTCATTCATTATGTCTGCTTTGTAGCTGTGGACTTCACAACTGGTGATAACCCTTGGCCTATATTTGAGCTACAAAAGAAGTTCAATGCTGCTGGGAAATCGCCGCCACTTTCAGCGTAAGGATCTTATTAGCAATTATAAAATGTTTAGTGGTCAGTGGTTGAAGTGCTCATGAATGCTTGTTTCAGGGAGTTCTATACAGGTTGGCTGACACACTGGGGGGAGAAGATTGCGAAGACTGATGCTGATTTTACAGCATCAGCCTTGGAAAGAATTTTGGAGAGGAATGGTTCGGCTGTTCTTTATGTAGGGCCTAAAATTCCTACTTTTATCCTTATTAAAGTGATTCTACTTGTAATGAGTTGATCGGGCTTCTTAAATTTTAGATGGCACATGGCGGAACAAACTTTGGATTTTATAATGGAGCAAATACTGGAGCAGATGAGTCTGATTACAAGCCTGATCTAACTTCCTACGACTATGTAAGGAATCTTTGACCTTATCTGTTCAAACTTGCAAAATAAATATTAATTTTGTTGCTGCAATGTAGCTTATAATTCAATATTGATCAGTTCTAAAAATTTTGGAAGCTAGTAACACCCCTCTTTCTTCAGGATGCACCCATTAGTGAGACAGGGGACATTAACAATGCAAAATTCAAAGGTAATAGCTGCATATTTCTTTTTTCACTTTGCAACCTATGATACTGAAACGGCATGATTCATCACCTATATACTACTTTCAGCGTTGCGAAGAGTTATCGAGCGGTACAGTTCAGAATCTCTTCCTTCTGTTCCACCTGATAGTGAAAAGACAGGATATGGGCCCGTTCACTTTATAAAGACGGGGAACTTACTTGACATGCTACCTCTTTTTGATGTGATTGAATCTGAAAATCCAATGACAATGGAGTCTGTGGGCCAGGTACATTAAATTCTGCAATTCTAGCTTTGAACATTATTTCTTTTCTTTTTGCTTTTTTTTTTCTTACATCCTATATATAATATTTTTCCTTGAGTTGAATTCCAGATGTTTGGCTTCTTGCTATATGTAACTGAATATGCTGCAAAAGACAATGACAATGGAAGAACTCTTTCTATACCAAAGGTGGAGTTTTCTCTTATCTTCATCAGGCTGATGATTGCTTTTTTAGTACAATATAAAACAGAATTCTAAATTTCTGGGTCTTTACACAAAATTTCTCTCTTTTCAACAAAGGCAAAAGGATTATTTTTTTATTTTTTTTTATGTTGTTGTGGTGGGGTGGGTGGGTGGGTTTCGAACTCTTGACCTCATCATTGGAGGTAGGGTGTAGATTTAACGCTAGGTTATTTCTGCAACCCCGAAAAAAAGATGTTTTGCTGGTATTGAATATTTCAAGTTTAGTGATCTCAATATCAAATGTTGCAGGTGCATGACAGAGCTCAAGTACTCATATCTTGCTCTTCTGAACATAATGGTGGACGACCCACATATGTCGGTGCAATTGAAAGATGGTCAAATCAAAGACTTGCCCTTCCTAATGCTAAATGTGTCTCCAATATTAACTTATTTATATTGGTACTTGATGTTTGTTCTTCAGTTTCCTTTTTAGTTTTCACTTAAAAAAGTAGTGAGGTTTGGCAATATATGCTTTTGTTTTCATTGTTCATTTTCCTTTAATTTCTTGCCCAACTATGCAATCTTTTTTTTTTTGCTCACAGGTAGAAAACATGGGTCGTCTAAATTATGGACCTTACATATTCGATAGCAAGGTAAACTCTTTTGTAAGACATAAACTGTGTAATTTTCTTGATATCTTGAGTCTTGATGAAGATGTTCCGACTTTCTGAGAGACAAAAGGATGCAATCAATACCGACCAGATTTAGTAATCAATGTCTACTTTTTTTCCTGCTTCTCATTGCTGATATAAGTTGTCCCTTTCCTAGTATATCATACCATTATGTACCAGTCGTTTTTGCTGTTTTCTGCAGGGAATTTTATCTTCTGTTTATCTGGATGGGACAATCCTTTACAAATGGAAAATGTACAAGATTCCCTTGGCCAACCTTAACGACACTCCAAGAACTAATCCCATCCTTGAGGCTTCATATTCTGGATTCATCGATGTAACGGCGCGCAAAAGATTAAAAGAAAAGTCTAGTAGGATTCTAAATACACATCTTTCAAAAGAACCAGCATTTTACACCGGCCAGTTCTACATTGACAAAAGCCAAGTAAAAGATACTTTCATATCATTAAATGGTTGGGGTAAAGGGATAGTAACTGTCAACAATTTCAATATTGGGAGATTTTGGCCGGTAAAATCATTTTTTTCTTTCTTTCCCTCGTCCTTTTTTTTTTTTTTTTTGGTTAACAGTTTTGATTCCTCTTATTGAGAAATAATGTGTCTACTTTGTGCAGTCAGTAGGTCCACAATGCAACCTCTATGTTCCTGCTCCAATCCTCAAGCCTGGGGAAAATGTTGTGGTATGTCATGCCAAATGCTGTTTTTCTTTTTCCTTTTTGGACTGTGTTTGTTCTTCTTTTGTCACAATCATCTTCCAACTTTGTTATTTTATAATTGACTAAATTTTTTTTTTTTTTTCATCCACCATTTGCACAGGTGATATTTGAGCTGGAATCTCCAAACCCAGAACTTGTCATAAGCTCTGTTGATCGGCCAGATTTTACATGCGGTTCAACTTCAAGTAAACTAAACGTCCATCGTCAGCTTAATGCCATCACTTTGCCCAACTCACAATCTCTTGTACTCAAATTATAGGCTGACAAGAAATTCTTCTCTTTTTCTTTCTTTTGTTCTTTGATAAACAAAAAAGAGACATCTTACAAACGAAAAAATCAGCACATCAGCATGAAGTATCAATACAAAACAACAAGTATGATTTCTCTTATTTCAACCAATTTCTTGTCTTACATTGACGGTGCGTGCAACTCGGGCTTTCCCAAAACAACTTGGAACTGCCTTATCATACACTAAAATTGTCCAGTACATCTGCCAGAAAAATTAACTTGAATCCTACTTAGAAGCGTCCTTCTGTTCCTGTTTCGACCCTGACATAGCTGCAGTTGCCGCTGCCGTCATTGCAGCTGCTGCCGCGCCAACCTTGGCACCGCCTGCAGCCTTCACCACACCAGCTACTTTGGCAAATGCCGCGATTCCTCCCACGAGTATAGCCCTCAAAGCGACGGTTGGTTTTACAGCCATATCTTATGTCCTTTTGAGTTTCAAAACTCAACTGAACTGCAGAGAACCTTGCACGGAAAACATCAAACAAAATTCCATGTCAAAACACAGGCAATGTAATGTAGAATATGACAGAGTTATAACTACTTCAAACTGGAACCCCACAATGACGGTAAAAAGAAAATCAGACAATGCTAATTGGGATTAGCATTATATAAAAGAAGCATTATAAAAATAAAAATAAAAATAAAATAAAAACCTCTTTGTACATGTAAGCTTCCATTTAATTAGGTCACATTTCACATTGAATATTGCGATTAATCGCGAAATCATTTGGGCAGGAAAAACTAATCTCTTCCTAATATCCTGACCTAAGAACTACACGATTTTTATATAAACGAATCTTTATTCCAAATACCCAGATGAGGATTTCATCCGTAAAGTTGAAATACATCGCCAGCAATAAGAATTGCAAGCGTAAAATTTCTGAAACCAATGACATAATAGGTGTAAGAAATTAGAAACAAACCTCAGATTCAAAGGGATTCTTCGCGGTTGCTAAGCGAAAAGTTTCTGCTAATAATCGTTGTGAATAGAGTAAAAGGAGAAAGTTCGAATCGTAATGCTTTTACAAAGCTTCCTTATCAATAGCTTCTTTCGGAAACTGTGTCGGACTCTGAGAATCAGGCCTGCGATTTGATGAAAGCAGTGGAGCGGAAAACGTTGTAAGACAGGGGTGCTAGGGGCCTAGGGCCAAGCGAAACGCCGCCGTGTCGACCCTTTTAGTTTCACAAAATAAACGACAAAGAAACTCTCAAAGAAGAGGATTACAAACGACACATAATTAAAAAGACAAAATCCTGAAAAACGACAGTAAAACGTGAACAACGACATCAAAAATAAAAAGTGATGACGAAAAAGGGGCCACCATGAGATCCCACTAAAAAGTTTAAGCCCACAAAAATAATTGAAACAAAAAAAGAAGAAGAAAACGACAACAATAAAGAACATGAAAGATGACAAAATCATTTGAGACGACAATTAAAAATAAAAACGACAATAAATGAAAACGGCATAAAAGATTAAAACGACAACACGTTTAACTGGCCCAAGCCCGACAGGGAAGACCATAAACGGCAGCAAGATTTACAACCGACAGAAAAGTACAACAAATGAACAAAAGACGTGTAAAAAAAAAAAAACTATTATTGTTTTCCCCCAAAATCGGAAGTTCCAGGCAAAAGT